GTAAATCCACATTTTCAAGTGAAATTTCCACATCCATACCATGTTAAGTCTCAGCATCCAAACCCAACTAAAACCACAGTTCAACCTTTAGACCTGGAACTGGCCATCAATCTACAATCTACTACTAAGGAGAAACTTTCTCAGACTATGCAGGAAACCACAAATGAGATGGCGGAACCAGCAAAAGAGGTTGTAGCTCAAGGTCCAGAATATCATGACATGACAATTCCAATACCAACTCAGGATCAAGCTGAGTATCCAACTGACTCATTTCAGCCCTTAGACCTAGAACTCACCATAACTTCAGAACATACCAAAGAGCCTTACCATCCTACAACCCCACCTCAAACTGACACCACAGTTCAACCTTTGGATCTGGAACTTACCATAATTCCACAAACTACTACAGAGGGAGAACTCCCTCAAACTCTGCAAGAGACCTTAACTGAGATTACAGAACCACCTAAAGAGGTTGTAGCTTCAGTGCCAAATCATCATGAGGTGACAGTTATAACACCAGATCAGCATCAAGCTGAGTATCCAACAACATCTGTTGCCTCATCTCAGCCTTTGGATCTGGAACTCACCGTAACTTCAGAGCCTACCAGAGAGACTCACCATCCTACAATTCCAAAGCATCCTCTAATGCACCCTCTGGTGAAACATCCAGAGCATGTTCACATTCAACATCCAAACCCAACTGAAGCTGCAGCTCAGCCTTTGGATCTGGAACTGACCATAACTTCAGAGCCTACAAAAGGGACTCACCATCCTACAATTACAAAGCATCATTCAAAGCATCCAGTGGTGATACATCCAGAGCAGGCACACACTCAACATCCAAACCCAACAGAAGCCACAGTTCAACCTTTGGATCTGGAACTTGCCATAACTCATCAGCCTACTGCCGATGGAGAACTTTCTCATAGTATGCAAGAGAGCACAACTGAGATTACAGAACCACTTACAGAGGTTGTAGCTCCAGCCACAGAATATCAAGAGGTGACAGTTCCAACACCAGGTCATGATCAAGCTGAGTATCCAACAACACATGTTGCATCCTCTCAGCCTTTGGATCTGGAACTCACCATAACTTCAGAGCCTACCAGAGAGACTCACCATCCTACAATTCGAGAGCAGACAATAATAGTTCATCCTGCAAAGCACCCAGTGGTGATACATCCAGAGCATATTCACACTCAGCATTCAAGCCCAACTGAAGCCACAGTTCAGCCTCTGGATCTAGAACTTACTGTAACTCATCAACCTACTGCCGATGGAGAACTTTCTCATAGTATGCAAGAGAGCACAACTCATATTACAGAACCACCTGAAGAGGTTGTAGCTCCAGCCACAGAATATCAGGAGGTGACAGTTCCAACACCAGGTCAGGATCAAGCTGAGTATCCAACAACACATGTTGCATCATCTCAGCCTTTGGATCTGGAACTCACCATAACTTCTGAGCCTACCAGAGAGCCTCACCATCCTGCAATTACAAATCATCATCCAAAGCACCTGGTGGTGATACATCCAGAGCATGTTCACACTGAACGTCCAAACCCAACTGAAGCCACAGTTCAGCCTCTGGATCTGGAACTTACTGTAACTCATCAACCTACTGCCGAGGAAGAACTTTCTCATAGTATACAAGAGAGCACAACTCACATTACAGAACCACCTGAAGAGGTTGTAGCTCCAGCCACAGAATATCAGGAGGTGACAGTACCAACACCAGGTCATGATCAAGCTGAGTATCCAACAACACATGTTGCCACATCTCAGCCTTTGGATCTGGAACTCACCATAACTTCAGAGCCTACCAGAGAGACTCACCATCCTACAATCCCAGACCACCTTCTAGTGTTACATTCAGAACATGTTCACACTGAGCATCCAAACCCAACTGAAGCCACAGTTCAGCCTCTGGATCTGGAGCTTACTGTAACTTATCAAACTATTGCCCAGGAAGAACTTTCTCATAGTGTGCAAGAGAGCACAACTGAGATTACAGAACCACTTACAGAGGTTGTAGCTCCAGCCACAGAATTTCAGGAGGTGACAGTTCCAACACCAGGTCATGATCAAGCTGAGTATCCAACAACACATGTTGCCTCATCTCAGCCTCTGGATCTCGAACTCACCATAACTTCAGAGCCTACCAGAGAGCCTCACCATCCTACAATTCCAGACCACCTTCTAGTGTTACATTCAGAACATGTTCACACTGAGCATCCAAACCCAACTGAAGCCACAGTTCAGCCTCTGGATCTGGAGCTTACTGTAACTCATCAAACTACTGCCCAGGAAGAACTTTCTCATAGTGTGCAAGAGAGCACAACTCAGATTACAGAACCACTTACAGAGGTTGTAGCTCCAGCCACAGAATTTCAGGAGGTGACAGTTCCAACACCAGGTCATGATCAAGCTGAGTATCCAACAACACATGTTGCCTCATCTCAGCCTTTGGATCTGGAACTCACCATAACTTCAGAGCCTACCAGAGAGCCTCACCATCCTACAATTCCAGACCACCTTCTAGTGATACATTCAGAACATGTTCACACTGAGCATCCAAACCCAACTGAAGCCACAGTTCAGCCTCTGGATCTGGAGCTTACTGTAACTCATCAAACTACTTCCGAGGAAGAACTTTCTAATAGTGTGCAAGAGAGCACAACTCAGATTACAGAACCACTTACAGAGGTTGTAGCTCCAGCCACAGAATTTCAGGAGGTGACAGTTCCAACACCAGGTCATGATCAAGCTGAGTATCCAACAACACATGTTGCATCCTCTCAGCCTTTGGATCTGGAACTCACCATAACTTCAGAGCCTACCAGAGAGCCTCACCATCCTACAGTTCCAGACCACCCTCTAGTGATACATTCAGAACATGTTCACACTGAGCATCCAAACCCAATTGAAGCCACAGTTCAGCCTCTAGATCTGGAACTTACTGTAACCCATCAAACTACTGCCCAGGAAGAACTTTCTCACAGTATTCATGAGAGCACAACTCACATTACAGAACCAACTGAAGAGGTTGTAGCTCCAGCCACAGAATATCAGGAGGTGACAGTTCCAACACCAGGTCATGATCAAGCTGAGTATGCAACAACACATGTTCCCTCATCTCAGCCTTTGGATCTGGAACTCACCATAACTTCAGAGCCTACCAGAGAGACTCACCATCCTACAATTCCAGACCACCTTCTAGTGTTACATTCAGAACATGTTCACACTGAGCATCCAAACCCAATTGAAACCACAGTTCAGCCTCTGGATCTGGAGCTTACTGTAACTCATCAAACTACTGCCCAGGAAGAACTTTCTCATACTATGCAAGAGAGCACAACTGAGATTACAGAACCACTTACAGAGGTTGTAGCTCCAGCCACAGAATATCAGGAGGTGACAGTTCCAACACCAGGTCATGATCAAGCTGAGTATCCAACAACACATGTTGCATCCTCTCAGCCTTTGGATCTGGAACTCACTATAACTTCAGAGCCTACCAGAGAGACTCACCATCCTACAATTCCAGACCACCTTCCAGTGTTACATTCAGAACATGTTCACACTGAGCATCCAAACCCAACTGAAGCCACAGTTCAGCCTCTGGATCTGGAGCTTACTGTAACTCATCAAACTACTTCCGAGGAAGAACTTTTTCACAGTATTCAAGAGAGCACAACTCACATTACAGAACCAACTGAAGAGGTTGTAGCTCCAGCCACAGAATATCAGGAGGTGACAGTTCCAACACCAGGTCATGATCAAGCTGAGTATGCAACAACACATGTTCCCTCAACTCAGCCTTTGGATCTGGAACTCACCATAACTTCAGAGCCTACCAGAGAGACTCACCATCCTACAATTCCAGACCACCTTCTAGTGTTACATTCAGAACATGTTCACACTGAGCATCCAAACCCAACTGAAGCCACAGTTCAGCCTCTGGATCTGGAACTTACTGTAACTCATCAAACTACTGCCCAGGAAGAACTTTCTCACAGTATGCAAGAGAGCACAACTCAGATTACAGAACCACCTGAAGAAGTTGTAGCTCCAGCCACAGAATATCAGGAGGTGACAGTTCCAACACCAGGTCATGATCAAGCTGAGTATCCAACAACACATATTGCCTCATCTCAGCCTTTGGATCTGGAACTCACCATAACTTCAGAGCCTACCAGAGAGCCTCACCATCCTACAGTTCCAGACCACCCTCTAGTGATACATTCAGAACATGTTCACACTGAGCATCCAAACCCAACTGAAGCCACAGTTCAGCCTCTGGATCTGGAACTTACTGTAACTCATCAAACTACTTCCGAGGAAGAACTTTTTCACAGTATTCAAGAGAGCACAACTCACATTACAGAACCAACTGAAGAGGTTGTAGCTCCAACTCCAGAATATCAGGAGGCGACAGTTCCAACACCAGGTCATGATCAACCTGAGTATGCAACAACACATGTTCCCTCATCTCAGCCTTTGGATCTGGAACTCACCATAACTTCAGAGCCTACCAGAGAGACTCACCATCCTACAATTCCAGACCACCTTCTAGTGTTACATTCAGAACATGTTCACACTGAGCATCCAAACCCAACTGAAGCCACAGTTCAGCCTCTGGATCTGGAACTTACTGTAACTCATCAAACTACTTCCGAGGAAGAACTTTTTCACAGTATTCAAGAGAGCACAACTCACATTACAGAACCAACTGAAGAGGTTGTAGCTCCAGCCACAGAATTTCAGGAGGTGACAGTTCCAACACCAGGTCATGATCAAGCTGAGTATCCAACAACACATGTTGCCTCATCTCAGCCTTTGGATCTGGAACTCACCATAACTTCAGAGCCTACCAGAGAGACTCACCATCCTACAATTCCAGACCACCTTCTAGTGTTACATTCAGAACATGTTCACACTGAGCATCCAAACCCAACTGAAGCCACAGTTCAGCCTCTGGATCTGGAACTTACTGTAACTCATCAAACTACTGCCCAGGAAGAACTTTCTCATAGTATGCAAGAGATCACAAGTCAGATTACAGAACCACCTGAAGAAGTTGTAGCTCCAGCCCCAGAATTTCAGGAGGTGACAGTTCCAATACCAGGTCATGATCAACCTGAGTATGCAACAACACATGTTCCCTCATCTCAGCCTTTGGATCTGGAACTCACCATAACTTCAGAGCCTACCAGAGAGACTCACCATCCTACAATCCCAGACCACCTTCTAGTGTTACATTCAGAACATGTTCACACTCAGCATCCAAACCCAACTGAAGCCACAGTTCAGCCTCTGGATCTGGAGCTTACTGTAACTCATCAAACTACTGCCCAGGAAGAACTTTCTCATACTATGCAAGAGAGCACAACTGAGATTACAGAACCACTTACAGAGGTTGTAGCTCCAGCCACAGAATATCAGGAGGTGACAGTTCCAACACTAGGTCATGATCAAGCTGAGTATCCAACAACACATGTTGCATCCTCTCAGCCTTTGGATCTGGAACTCACCATAACTTCAGAGCCTACCAGAGAGCCTCACCATCCTACAATTCCAAACCACCCTCTAGTGATACATTTAGAACATGTTCACACTAAGCATCCAAACCCAGCTGAAGCTACAGTTCAGCCTCTGGATCTGGAACTTACTGTAGCTCATCAAACTCCTGCTGAGGAAGAACTTTCTCATAGTATGCAAGAGAGCACAACTCAGATTACAGAACCAACTGAAGAGGTTGTAGCTCCAGTGCCAATATATCAGGATGTGACAGTTCCAACACCAAGTCAGGATCAAGCTGATTATGTAACAACACATGGTGCATCATCTCAGCCTATGGATCTGGAGCTCACCATAACTTCAGAGCCTACCAGAGAGCCTCACCATCCTACAATTCCAAACCACCTTCTAGTGATACATTCAGAACATGTTCACACTCAGCATCCAAACCCAACTCAAGCAACAGTTCAACCTCTGGATTTGGAACTTCCTGTAGCTCCAGAGTCTACTGCTGAGGGAGAAATTTATCAAAGCATTCAAAAGGCCATAACTCATATTACAGAACCACCTAAAACGGTTGTTGTTCTAGCCCCAGTATATCAGGAGTTAACAGTTCCAACACCAACTCACGATAAACCTGAGTATCCAACCTCATCCCATATCTCTTCTCAGCCCTTGGACCTAGAACTCACCGTAAGTTCAGAACCTGCTAGAGAGACTCACCACCCTATAATCCACAAGAAGACTGTAATAGTTCAACCGCTAAAGCATCCTCTAGTGATATATCCCGAATATGTTCATACTCAGCATACAAAACCAGCTGAAGGTACAGTTCAACGTTTGGATCTAGAACTTACTGTGGCTCCACAACTTACTGCTGAGGGAGAATTTTCTCAAATCATGAAAGAGATCACAACTCAAATTATAGAACCACTTAAAGAGGTTGAAGCTCCAGCCCCACATCAGGATCAAGCTGAGTATCCAGTTTCACCCAGTACCACATCTCAACCCTTGGACCTGGAACTCACCATAACTTCAAAGCCTACTAGAGAGTTTTACCATCGGACAATTCCAGAGGAGACTACAGTTGCTACTCCAGAGTACCCTCTGGCAATATATTCAGAGCCTGTTTACAATAAGCATGTACATACATCTGAAGTCACCATTCAACATTTGCATCAAGAACTAACTGAAACTTATCAAACTATTAATGATGGAGAGCTTTCTCAAATAATGGAAGAGAGTACAACTCACATTACCAAACCACCTAAAGAGGGTGTAGCTCTAGGCCCAGAATTTCAAGAGGTGACAGTTCCAATTCAGGATGAAGCTGAGTATCCAACACCATCCAGGATCTCATTTCAGTCTCCAAATGAGGAACTCACCATACCTTCTCGGCCTCCTACAGGGACTCAGTATCCTCCAACTCCAGAGCAGACTACGGTTCATCTTTCAGGTCATAATGTGCTGCTAAACCCAGAACTTTTCATTCCTGTTACAAAAACTCCAACTGATATAGCTGACTCTGATGAACATATCTCATCTACTCTAGGTAACATTACTGAAAGTTTGTGGAGGATCACAGCTGAGGTTAGAAAATCACGTAAAAAGGTTGTAGCTCAAAGTCTAGGATATGAGGAGGGCATGATTCCAGCTCCAATTCAGAATCAATCTGAGCATCTAACAGCACCATATCGGCCCTTAGACTTGGAACTCACTGTAACTTCAGAACCTACTAGAGAGGCTTATCATCCTATAACTCTCAATGAGACTACAGTTCATCTTCCAATGCATTCCCAAGTGACACTTCTAGAACAGGGTCACACTCAGCATCCAAACACAAATGAAATCATGGTCCATCCTTTAGATTTGGAAGCTACCATAACTCATCAATCTACTGCTGAGGGAAGACTCTTTGAAACTATGAAAAAGACCTTCTCTCATCTTGCACAGACACATGAGGAGTTTGCTCCCAAAACTCCAGTGTTTGATGACATTAAAGATGCAATACCAAGTCATCATCAAACTCAGCATACAGTGTCACCTGAGGTGCCAGTTTATCATCTTGCTATAGAACATGCTGTAACTGAAATATCTAAGATAGAGAGTGAACTTTATCAAGCCCCAGGGAATATTACTATTCCTCCCTCAAATATCCCTGAAGAGATACTCCCACCTCCTGACAAGATTCAGGCTCAACATCTAAACCTAACCCAAGTCACAACTCAGTATTTACACTCGGAATTTTCCATAACTCGACAACCTAATACAATGGTTAAACGTTCTGCCCGTATGAAGGACACCCCAGCTCAGACTTCAGAGATACCTGTGGAGACTGTACTTCAACCTGTAGAGAATCATGAGACAACAGCTCTAACTTCAGCTCATGTTGATACTCAACATTCAATATCAGTTATAGAGACTGAGCATTCTGAAGTCACAGAAACTACATCTTATCCAGAGTCTGCACACACAATAGTTCCAGAGACTACATCTTATCAAGAGTCTGCACATTCTGAAGTCCCAGAGACTATGTCTTATCTGGAGTCTGCATACACAAAAGTCCCAGAGCCTATATCTAATACAGTGTCTGCACATTTTGAAGTCCTGGAGACTATATCTTATCTGGAGTCTGTGAACATTGAAGTCGCAGAGACTACACCTCATCCAGGGTCTGCACATTCTGAAGTCCCAGAGACTACATATTATCCAGGGTCTGCATATTCTGACATCCCAGAGACATCTTATCCAGGATCTGCACATTCTGACATCCCAGAGACATCTTATCCGGAGTCCATACAGTCTGAAGCCTCAATGACTACAGATGCTTCTACAGAGGCTGTGTACTGTGGAGTCTCAACAACTGCAGCTGTTCCTCCAGAGATTGCACATTCTGAAGTCCCAACAACTATAGGTCCGACTCCAAAGTGCCCTGAAATGACACTTCCACATCCAGATCAGGTTGTGACACAGTATCCAAGCTCAGCTGAAGTCACAGTTCAATTTTTGAAAATGGAACTTACCATAACTCCATATTCTGAAAATTCTAATACAGAAAAAGGTTTAACTATGGAACAAAATGCCTACATGTACACCAACATATGTGACTTCTGCTTGTGTGAAAATGAGACACTGTTGTGTATTCATCTCAGCCCAATGCGGAGACTCCACCAAGTGCCTGTGCCAAGGCCGGACACCTACAATGACACTTTTGCTATCTTGTAAGACTCACCTTTATTTCGGTTTTACATTCTGCCTGACATAGCACCCTTTTCTTCAGAACCTTCCTGGGCCTTCCTTGCCACCCTAACTCCCATTGATTGACTTTCTGCTCTTACCTTGGCTTGTCAACTTTTCTTTGTCCTCAATTCCTTCTTCAGTGTCCCTTTTATTTATTATAACCCTTCTTCTTTTCCTGTATTCACTTTTACTGAGCCCCATTATCTCATTGCTCAACTTTTGTTCTTCTGTTTCATTCCACCTTCTTTATAATTTATCTCATTAGTGAGGACACATCAGAGTGATTAGAGTAGATTCTGGAGCTGGACTCTTTAGTTTTGACCCAAGCTCTGCAACCCTGGGTAAAGTATTTAGCTGCGAGTTAGCTTCCTCACCTATAAAACAGGGAGTGTGCTTACTACTGTTTCATAGGACTGTTGTGAGGTTTAGTTGACTACATGGAATACTTATCTTAGTTTTTATCATACATGAATGTCGGCTTTGCAGTTCAGTTATGTCCAGAGCTCATTCTTGTTCTTAGTTTTCTCTATTTTTCATGCATTGTGTGCTCACTCAGGGCTAAGAAGTATTGGAGCCATATATGTAGGGAATTTTCTCTGGAACATTAAATAATAGATGGGAAACTGGGTGTTACATTAAAACTTCACGTTTGGCTCAAAGAATGTCTAATTCTTAATAAAGTAAAAATAGGTATTACAGCATAGGCAAAAGCATAGCTACAAGAATAATGATTTACTAGACTAGTCTACCAGCAAAAATTGGGTTAGAAAGTGATACTACCAGCAAAAATTGGGTTAGAAAGTGATAAGAGATATGAAATACTTTGAATATCAACTCTAGTGGTTTGAAAGTCTAGTGGTTTGAAATTTCTAAGAAGTATTGAAAAAGTAGTAAAACAGGAGGACAGAACCTTGCTATGTAATATAGGCTGACCTTGAGTTCATGATCATCCTGCCTCAGCCTCCCAAATGACAAATATAGGTATATGTCTTAACACTTACATGCAGGATCATTTTAGCATCCTGTGTAGAGTAATCCAGAGAAGACGCTTAATTCTTGATGACCATATAGAAAGATCTAACAAAATCTAGGAATAAAGTGAGCAAAAGATTAGCCACAGTGGCTATTATGGGAATGGGAAGGAGATAGAATTTAGTGACTGATACTGGACATGGTACACACCTTTAATCCCAGAATGTGAGAGGCAGAGGTAGGTGGATCTATGTAAATTTTAGGCCAGCCTAATCTCCATAGTGAGTTCCACACCAGCCAGGGCTACATGGTGAGAGTGCTTCTCGAACAAAGTTGGGAATTAGATAGAGTGTGCCAAAAAAAAAATGAGCCCACAATTTCTATCCTGGATGAAGATGAGAATAAGAATTTAGCATATGGACTCAGTAGTCAGGTACAAGTAAGTGTAGCTTGAGAGTGGTGAGTTCAGTTTTAGGCATTTTCCTTATTGGTGAACAGTTTGGGATTAATTGGAGTTGTCCATTATCAAGTGAGTGGATTTCTTTCTTCCCTACCACAAGAAAAAATATGTTGAAACTGAGCAAGAACGACTTCACTGAGAAGCACGAGCAGAACTAAAGGTAAATGCTCAAAGTGAGTCACAAAGTTGAAACTGAACATAAATTAGGTACTAAACAGCTTCTTTTAAGCATGTCCCACTCAAGGATATCATCCCATAAAAATGTCATGGAAGCCTGGTGTGGTAGTATATATCTATAATCCTAGTACTTGGGAACTAAAGAATGAGAATCACAAGATCAAGGCTAACCTGGACTATACTTAGTGAGATCCTGTCTAAGAATGGCTAGGAATACAGCTCAGTGATAGAATGCCCTGGATTCCATTACTAGCACTGCAAAATAGGGTGAAGGGTTGGGACACCTGGGGAGGTTACTCAGTGTTAAAGTTCTCCAATTGCAAGTGTAAGGACTGGAGTTCAGATCCTCAGAATCCATGTGAATGACAGGTTGGTGTGACAGTTTACCTGTAATTACAGCCTTGGAAGTCAGAAGCACATTCTTCAGAGCCATCTGGCTAGCAAGCCTCCCATACCAGTGAGCTCTAGGCTGAATTGAAGGACTCTGCCTCAGTAAAGTAGGAGAATGACTGAAGATGATTCCTAACATCAGACTTGGGTCTCCACATGCACACATACAAAATGGAAACAAAAGACACAGTGTTTATAGGATAATATAGAAAATTCATTCCATGTAGCTTGACACTCTTCTTCTGTTCCCTACCAACCAAAATTAACCACACTTGCATTTGGTGTGTGTCCTTCCTTTGGTTTCATTTGTGTTTTCCCAGAGGAGGTAAAACTTCCACAGTGATTTTTGTGATTTTCTTCTAAGTGCATGGCCAGGAGCTGTTCCCACACTAGCACATCTCTTTCACTAACCCTGATTCCCTCATCTTTCTAACGCACCAATGTTAGAAACAGACAGCCCTCAGGCAAAGTTTTGGTGTTACCTATAATAGGGTTTCTTATTTGCTCATGGTGATAAAAATTCGCCTATTTTTCCTGTTGATTTATTAATCTCCATTTTTATTGATTTGTAGAAGTACTTCATTTAAACACAATTATGTTTGAGAAAAATACTTAGTAATTAACTAGCATTTTCTAACCAAGAGGCAGGTCATATTAGAACTTCAACTTGCAAGGAAAGGTCTTACCTTGTATTAGCAGCCCTGCATTGTTAACTGTGCTCCCTTGGAAAATATAGAATTAGAAGCTTGGTGGTTTCCTTCGTTCTATATTGAACACCTCCACGAGGGTGTGATGATTTTTACTCCTCCTGCTTATTCTTTTCCTATTTACTCAAGTATGTGAACTGCTTCTTCACAGGAATTTCCAAGGAAATGATATTTCTTACATTGACAAAAATGTATGGAAAGCATACCGTTGGGCTGAGAAACTGTGAGTAGTATATATTCTCTCCAAATGTTATATAAAATATTACACAAGGCCCACTTTTGTTCAGATTTTGAGGTAAGTATGTCTGAGGAGATATTTCCTCTGTTCATCCCCAGTGAATTTTTGTATAATAGATAGCTAGTTATGGAATGTTTAGGGTGGAGATAGGGAATTTTAATGGCTCTAAATAAACAAATTAGTACTAATTGAATTTGTTTGGTAAGTTGCAGGAGAACTGGGATTTGTGTGCTAGTGCACTTGTCTAGTGTATGAGGTCCTGAGTTGGAACCTTACCAGCGCAGGCAAAATTTTTAGTTTAAATGTTGTTGGTTTTCACTGAAAGACAATTTTGTTTTCCAGTACAGAAAGTCATCTATGATGGCGTTTTTAATGGTTATAAATTTTTCTTCGGTTTTTCGAGCCAGGGTTTCTCTGTATTGTTTTCGAGTCTGTCTGGAACTTGCTCGGTAGACCAGGCTGACCTTGAACTCACAGAGATCTGCCTGCCTCTGCCTCCCAAGTGCTGGGATCATGTAAGGGGAATAGTTAAACCTTCCTTGTGCCATAATCCTTAGATCTGGAGTAACTGCTACTCTAAATTTGGTATATATCCTTCCATACATATTGGCATATAGAAAAATAGGAGTGTTGCTGATCACTTTTACATACGTGATAACATTTGGTAACTTGATGGTTTCACTTCACGATATTTAAAGTTCTCTTTCCCATATGTAGAGGTTCATACTATTCATTTCCAGTTTGCATAATATTTCATATAGGACTGAATTAAACATTCTATGTGCCTCAGACTATTGTTTCTATAAGCTACATACCTAGAAGTATACTCTTTAGGGTTGAGACCATTGCGTATATGGAATATTAACTGCTTCCAAAAGAACTGACAACAATTTATTCTCTAGGCAGTAGCATATGACAGCATATATTTCCTCATCCCATTTCACCACTGGATGTTCTCCATCTGTTTGACGATTTTTGATCCAGATAACCTTTTAATCTTCCAGAATTCTCAGTGAAAATCACCTGACTGAATTACATAAGGACTCATTTGAAGGCCTGCTATCCCTTCAGATTTTGTAAGTTAGGCATATCTATTTGTTTTGTTTTTTAAGAAAAATTTTGTGGTTTTATTATATCATGAGGCATTGAAACATCTGAACAAATCAATATCTGGGCAGTGAGGCAGCTGCTTTCTCCTTCACTTCTTTGTGTAACTAGAGCAACTTGTCAGTAGATTAAAAAATAAAAGGAAACTAAAAAACCAACAATCTTTTGCATTACTTAAGTCTTTCCAAGGCATGCGCTGGTACAACACAAACTTCTCCTGTCAGATGCAACTAGTCTAGCATCCAAACATCATGCACAATACCATGGTGACAGACGCCCACTGCACTCACTCCCACCTCGGCCCTGCTCATGTGTGTATGATATTTAGAGCATCTGGAGGAGTGAGATAGTATTGGGAAGCGGAGGGAGGAGCAAACAGCGTGAGTATCCGGCTAGGTGGAGGTCAGCTGAAGTTGTGCAGGGAAAGCCTGAACATGTCATTGGTGCAAACCCAAGCATCGTTGATGTTCTTTAATAGAAACATCTGGTGGAAACCCATGATGAGATCTTCATCGGCTCTTCAGTTCAGAGGTTTTTGGTTTATGTTAGCTGCCTCCATTGTCTGGGTCTGTATGTAGGCTCATAAACCTAGCACATGTACTAATTTAGACTTTGCAAAAAGGGTGTAAGACAGCATAGTAATATGTGAGAAATTAATGTCAGCTTTGAATAGTTGTATCAAAGAGAAGAAAACAGACAACTACATTCATTTGAAGGCCATTAACCCAGAATGTTTGACAGTGTTTTCCCTCTTTGAAATATGGTCTCATGTAGCTCAGGCTTGCCTTAAACTCTCTAAATAGCCAAAGCTGGCCTTGAATTCTTGAATCCCTTGCCTCTGTTTCCCAGGTGCTAGGATTACAGGCATGCATTATCACACAATTCATATAATTCTGGGAATAAAACCAAAGACTTTGTGCATGCTAGGCAAGCACTCGCTCTACCAACCACGATATACCTCATGGTTGTTTTGAGCCTAGGTTTCATGTGTATCCCAGGCTGACCTTGAACTTGCAGCAGTCCTCCTACTCCCACCTTCCAAGTGCTAGGATTGCATGCATGTGCCATCATACCCAGTTTCCTGTAATAATTTAATCTGAATTAAATTGACACCGAAACACTAAATAAGTAGCCAAATGCTAGATTATATAAACATTAACATGATTAAGTCATTAGGAGAACAGATTGGTATTACAGTTTTTAATGTAATTTTATGTCCATGTGAAAATAGATATTGAAATAGTGGTTAGGAAGTACCTACAAATGTTTACTTGAAGCAAACATACTGTAAGTGCCCATGTCATTCATGGACCAAACAACTAAAAGATGGGGCTAGTGGCACATGACTTGAACCACAGCACTGGAGGGGTAGAGGCAAGCAGATATCTTAAGTTTGAGGCCAGTCTGGTCTACATAGTGAGTTCCAGGCTAGCCAGGGATATAGTGTCTAGATACCCTATAAAAAATGTAAAATCTCAACAGAATTGTTGCCAAGGAGGGAATACTTGCAATGGTAATTTTGATTGTTTAGAGATAAGCATGTACAATGTTTTTCAGTGTGAAAGCTTGCTTTCTAACCTTGACCCTATGGGTAAAGGTTATACATCCTTAAGGTATACACCCTCAATCCTTTTTGAGCTAAAAATGACATTTTAAAAAATGAATGGGGTATAATTCCAATTAAAGAGCATTAGGGAAGTACATATACAGATCCTTACATCGTATTAAAAATCTTCCATCTTCTGGGTGTGGTGGAGCACACCTTTAATCGTAGCATTCCAGAGGCAGAGGCAGGCAGATCTCTCTGAGTTTAAGACCAGCCAGGACTACATAGTGAGATTTATCTTAACCCAAATCAGAAACATTTTCCTTCTATAGAAAGAGAATGGTCATGATTGTACTGGACCTACTTTTATATTGATATTTGGGACTTTTTGCATCTGAATTCTCAAACTGTAAAAAAATGTTTGGAGAAAAACAATAAAATAACTGAGTAGAATAGTCCTCTTATTTATTTTAGTTGTAAATAGTTACTTTATATTAACCTAATTTGTCATTCATTTATTTAAATATCCCTCAGTTTAAAAAATGTGCTATAATAGAACATGCCAAATACTGTGTCTATTATTGGAGGCCCAGAGATGAATGAGACAGGATTCCTTCCCTCTGAAAACTCATGCACTTCAAGAGGAACAAGCATATGAGCACGAATCTTAATGTTTCAGACATGCAGAGGGCTCAGCCATAAAGTCATAAACTGAATTTCTTCCAAATAAGTCATTTTTCTTGAACTCACCAACTATGTGTTTATTGAATAAATATTTGAGGTTGTTGAAATATTTGTGTCAGTCTCAAACTTGGTGGTCAGTGTAGATGATTTGGACTACATGCTTTCAAGGAGCTTGTGATTAGAAGAAGGGATGCAAAAATAATTTCAAAAGTATGAGCAGGCTAGAGAAACGGCTCAGCAGTTAAGAGCACTGGCTGCTTTGAAGAGGACCAGAGTTCTGTTCTCAGCATCAACATCAGGGGGCGCACAACCTCCTGGACTTCTAGCTCCAGAGGATCTGATGCTCTGGTCCTCTGTGAGCACCTGCACACACACATACACAAATAAATAATTAATTTTTTAAAGTAATGAGACCTGGGGATAGGGCTCAGTGGGAAAAGCACTAGCTAGGAAAGCCCAGTGACCCATATTTGGTCCTCATAACCCACATTAACAAAAAGACACATGCAATAGTTTGCATCTTTCATCCCAGCACTGCTGTGAAACAATGGGGGCAGAGAGCTGGAGGTGTTTTCAGCTAGCAGGCCTCCAGTAAGAAGTGTGTCAGAAAACAGCCCTGCTTCAAGAAAGCAGAAGATAGAAACTGACTTCTGAAAACTGTCCTCTGACTTCCACACATGTACACATCCATACATACATATTTTTTGGGTCACTAAGGTATAAATTGTGTAGAGTACAGAAGAGGAAAAAGACTTGAATTTGGTTAAGGGAAGTTGTTCCCACACCAATTCAATTTGAAGAAAACCTTGGAGAATCGCTGGGAATCATCAAACAGACCCTTTGGGGAGAATGTGCTGAACACCAATGACAAGAGTGAAAAGGCAAAACACACAGAAGAGTTTGAGGGGTGCCATGAGCACCTGCAGAATGTAAGAGGGAAAAGTAGATCAGAGCTGGGCCTTCTTTGGATTTGAATGCCAAGCCAAGGAGCCATAATGTGACCATGGCACTGTAAAAGGCTCCTCTGCATCACCTGCAGAGCTTGCTAGAACTTCATTATGACAGCACCCCACCCAGTTCCCAATCAACAAGTCCACAGCAAGGCTGATTTCTGTCTTCTAAAGCTCCCAGCGGCCAATACTCAGGAGGCTGAGGTGAAAGGATTGCATTCTACATAGAAAGACCCTGCTTCAAAAACAAAAGTCACTAAATATTCTTCTCTCAGGAAAGACTAACTCTGAAATTTACCAGCATCTATAGCTATATATTTATATATGAAGATCATGACGTTTAGGATAGATGTGGATAGCATTAGGGGTTCTACAAAATTCCAGTATAAATTCAAAGGTTTAGAGTTTAGACAAAACCAATAGTATTAACAATTCTAAATTTTGTTGTTTACTCATACTAATTAGAGATCTAATAGCTAATCAAAGCAATATTTCTCTTTTCCTTTTCCTAGGGACTTATCCTGCAATAAAATACGCTATATTGAAAGAGGGACATTTGAATCATTACCTTTTTTGAAGTATATGTAAGTTACAAATATAGCTCCTCCATATTTGGAATTTTATAACCTCCATGCTATTTATTCTGTTACATGATTAAAATTTTGCTAGTAAGAAATAAGCCAGACATAGAAGAACAAATACCACATGCTTTCTCTCATTTATAGAAGCTAGACTTATGCCTTTTTTCAGTGATGGGGACTGAACCCATAGCCTTGTAATTGCTAAGCAAACACTCTATCAATGAGCTAAATCCACAACCCTAAGACTTACATGTAAATACACATGTAGGTAGCATGAAAAATAGAAGATGGAGTGTGGAGGACAAGAAAGGAGCCTAAAAAGGTGTAAAATAAAAAAGGACAATGTGAGAAAGGAATCCAAAATGATTTCACCTTTTTTTTTTTTTTTTTTGGTTTTTACGAGACAGGGTTTCTCTGTATTGTTTCGGAGGCTATCGGTCCAGCCCGGCCTCGAACTCACAGAGATCCACCTGCCTCTGCCTCCCGAGTGCTGGGATTAAAGGCGTGCGCCACCACCGCCCGGCTGATGTCACCTTTTCTATTGGTTATAATCTAGGTAGGTGTGTGTGTGTGTGTGTGTGTGTGTGTGTGTGTGTGTGTGTGTGTGTGAGTATGTAGCATAAAAGGAAAAGTGACACTCTGTTGAGAGGAAAGGAACAGAAAGGAGACAGGACAGTAGAGAGTGGCAGGAAAGATAAGAAGTAAGATACAATACACACACACACACAATGTATAACTGTCATGATGAAACCTATTATATAGTATACAAATGAAACAAATTTTGTGGCTAATAGGAAGAGACCACAACTACACAGCAAATTATTTTTCATGTGTATGCCTCTGTGTGTGTGTGTGTGTGTATGGGTGGATGTACAGCCATGTGGATGTGTGCACATTCTCATGCTTGTATAGATCACAGAACTTGAGTTATATCCTTCCACCATGTGAGTCCTGGGGCTTGAACTTGGTCTTGGTGTCAAGCATCTTTTCCCACTGAGCCATCTCACCATCCCACATTCTTTTAGTTTATGGTAAAAAAAATGAGAGGCTTGAATCACAGCACAGCACTGATTTTTAGTGAATGTGATTGTGTACCCAGGTGACAACTGGCAACTGTAGATTTGCAACAGGCATCTAGTGTAAAGACATCACAGCTGTTCTAAACATTGTCTAGTGTACAGGAAAAACCTACATAAGAGTGGGCCAGCCTAAAATTTCAGTAATGCTGAGGTTGTGAAACCCTCTCTAGAGAAAAGTAAGATCATTGAAAAAAGGATTTATTTATGATTCACTGTAGTTAGTGCATTGCATATGTAAATATGAAGTGTAAATCATAAATGAATATCATCCACAATGAGATTTTCTTAGTGAATTGAAGAAACATTTATGAGAAAGGTTATGTTTCATTATATGTGTATTAGAAGGATTGTTACATGGTAACTGTTCTGAAGAATTTTTGTTTTGGTTTGTATCTTTTTAATGTTTTAAAATTATTTTAGGAACCTTGGGTGCAATTTACTCACTGAGCTGAGCTTTGGAACGTTTCAAGCATGGCATGGAATGCAGTTTTTACAGAAGTTGTAAGTGAAGTAGAAGTTTAGCACATGTAAATACTTATTTGTGTGTTAAAGTCCCAATGAAGTATTGATTTACTGAGTATAAACACTGTGAACTGTGGATACTTTGTCTTAATGTCCATTCATTCTTTTCTAATGAAGAAACTAAGGCACAGGAGGCCAGGAGACTTGTGTAAATTATAGGACATGGTCTACTTTCCTAGTCCTGACCTTCAGCACAGACACTACAAGTAACACCACTCAAGTAGCACTCACTAGGTATCTTCATGGGGCCCCAGGGCTGTGGCTCTGATGTGTGATGCTTTTGGAAACTTGTGAGTTTCACTCCAATTCCCTCTCCTATGCACAGTTAGTTCCCAGAGAGCAAAGATTAACACCAAGTACTCCAGGGAGCAAAAGGGATAGTCCCTTCCTCAGAAATGTAAAGCAGAAAATGCTGAAAATTTTCCCTGGGACTTCTCTCCCCATCCATCATCCAGAACATTATTATTCAGGAAGTATATGCCTCTGGAGTCATGGGTTATCTGTGGGCAGGAGGCACCTTTGCAGCATGGGATAAGAAGGCATCTGCATTAAGCGATATGGTTGAAAATATGTTGTTCTAGTCTGGTTCTATATAATACTTTTCTTCCTCTGTTATGTGTAGTTTTCCCCGCCAACTGCCTGGGCCCTGCCAAGCTGTCTGAAGCCCCAAATAACACACAGGACACTATATTAATTACAAGCTGTTGGCTATTTGCTATTGTTTCTCATTGTCTAGCTCTGACTTAATTATTGGCCCACAATCTCAATACATATTTTTATAAAAACTTACCTTTGCTAGGGTACATTCCTGCCGTGTCCCTTCCTCCTGGGAGTCACATGGAGACCAGCCCGTTCACTACATTTCGCAGAATCCTCCTACACTCCTAGTCCCACCTATCTTGCTTCCCTATTGGCCAACAGTGCTTTATTGACATATACACAGAACTTCCCCCATCATCTCCTCTTTACTGTCTAAATAAAAAGAAAGGTTTTAACTTTAACATAGTCAATAGAACAGTTATCAAGTAAGAACTATAGTTACAATATTTTGTCCATTAACATTCAGTAAGATTTAAAGAAAATATCATCTGTCCTATCTTTTATGAGCATAAAGTCTTATCTTTTATCATAACTAAGGAAAACTATAACTATCTGTCTTCAACTCCATCACAGACCACAGAAGGATAATATATAAACACTAGAATTGACAAAGACATCTTGCTCTACCTGGACAGTCACCAGAAGTTCCTCTGTAACGTTGGGGGCATCCATCTTCAGCCCATAGGCCACAGTGTGTCTGGAAGACTTCTCAGCAAAACAGGAAATTTCAAGCTGTCCATCTGCATTGGCAGTCCGTCAGTCATTTTTCTGTGTCCTGCAGAAAGTCTGGCTGACTCTTCCATGAAGCAGGAACCCTTTAAGACTGTCCAAATTCAGTAGTGACTTTTCTGTGGGTCCTGCATGTCCAGATTATACAGCAACAGTCAGTCTAGGCAAGAGCAGTTTCTTGCCCAAATGGCTAATCTTGCCATGTTGAAAGCAAACTCCATAACGAGTTTCTTCCATGCCCATCTTCCTCTTAGATGTAATTCATGTTGCCAGGAGCAGACATTGCTCATTGTCAAGAAAAACCCTAAACCATTTAAAATGTCATTTTCTGAATGTCTTTGAAAGGTTTGAAGACTGTCTATCTATCTCAAATATATTTCTGTATATCTAGAAAACCTAACTTACCTAACTATAAGTTCTGACTATTATAAGTAACTATCTATAATCTGTACTTAATTATGCATTATGTTTTAAAAGATCAGTATAAACACAATACTTAATCAAGAGGAGAAATATACACATCGCAACATTGACCTTGAATTTGCATCAATAAATGAAAAACCATATCAATACAAAGTATTCATTTCCATACCATATTCCCCTTTTACCTTTAAAAAGAGATTGGTTATGAACATTAACCAATTATAAGCAACCCCATTCAAATGAAAACAAAGATTTATAAGTAATTTGGGAATTTGGATGTTGCTCATTCCAAACTGCTTCCTGCTGATAGGGGCGCTGTCCATACCATGGGGATCATGGCAAAACTCAGAAACCTGTATAAGTCCTTATTTTTGTGGTCTGTAAGGCTGCATCATCTTAGCTGTCTTAATTGTTGGAACACTGCCCACTGCTTCTGGGGGTCTTGGTTCATCAAACCACAGAAGCATGGAAGAAATCCATAGCTTTCCATTTTCTGTAGAAACATAAACAAAAACTCTTTTTCCAAGTAACCTGTCCTTATATTTAAATTTAGAAGTCAAGCATTTTCAAAATATATAAATTGGATTAATTTAGCAGCATTTACAATCAAGTGTACTTTAGCAGTTGTTCCTTCTTTAGAGCGATCGAAAAACTGGAAGACACAATAGCATAAGTATCCAGACTCTCGGTGTATTTTCCATCTTTACGTGGCTTATTTATTTAGCTATTATTATTACTCTATTTCTTTTACTTGTATTTACTTGTTCTCTGAGACAGGGTATCTCTTTGGAAATCTACCTGCCTCTGCCTCTGGAGTGCTGGGATTAAAGGCGTGTGCCACCACACCCAGCTACTTTATTTTTTCCAATACCTTGCTTCTTTTACTCTCCCTAGTCTACCTATATTTTTCTTCATCTGAATCTGACTTTACTGTAAAAGTTTATGTTTTTCTGGCCAAGTGTCTTATATAGGCTAAAGAACACTGCTAAAATTAAAGAGGAAACAGCCGCTGGCTTTGCAACATGGCAGGAGTAAGTTTGACTCCAGTTTATCGCCTCAATCTATACTGACGTCCAGCAGCATGGCGCCGGCTTGGAGATGTGGTCACTGCCACTGCCAGATGCTCGTGCGGTATTCAATTGTTAGCAGAGCCTCTTAAAAGAACCTTGATGGTTTTTTTTGCTTTGTTTTGTTTTTCTTCTTATGCTGAGTCAGGAAGACTCTCTTAGGTGAGCCACGTGAGTCTCTGCTTGTCCCTAGCAAAACAGAGTCCACCTGAGAAAAATTCTGCTAACAAGAAGCCATGTGTCTCTCTGTTCTTTTGTTTCTAAAATCCCTTTTATACTTTTGTCATTTATGTGGAAATTCATGATCCCACTCCTGACAACCATATGTAGAGTGTAGTCCTCTTTGCCAGTTGCCTGGGCCCTGCCGCACTATCTGAACCCCCAAATAACACACAGGACACTATATTAATTATAAATCTGTTGGCTGTTTGCTTGGTTTCTTACTGGCTATCTCTGACTTAAGTATTTAACCCATAATTGTTAATCTAAGTATGTCTCTTCCTGGAGAAAAGGGTCTGGGCCTCTTATTCCTCTGGCTGCCTACATGGTGTCTCCCTGTCTTTTTCCCAGAATCCTCCTTTGATTTCTAGTCCCACCTATCTTGCTTCCCTATTGGCCAACAGTGCTGTTCCCTCTGACCTGACCAGCAGCAAGAGTGAGCTCTGGAGTCTGCCACCCCAGATTTATTCTGGTCCTCTGTCACATCCTCACCTGTTACCATGCCCATTTGGGTCAGTGCTACAGGTTTGGACTTGGGGATATCTCACTACAGTAATCCTCTTTCTTTGATGAATCTTTGTGTGATTTGGATATCAGGGTGACTGTGGCCTCATAAAATGAAATTTGTAGTGTTCCTTCTGTTCCTATTTTGTGGAATAATTTGAGTATTAGCCTTAGCTCCTTGTTGAAAGTCTAGTAGATTTCTACACTAAAACCATCTGGCCCTGGGTTTTTTTTTATTTTGTTTTGTTTTTTGGTTGGGAGACTTTTAATGACTGCTCCTCTTTCCTTAGAGGTTATAGGTCTATTTAAATTGTTTATCTGATCATGATTTAGCTTTGGTAAATGGTATCTACCAAGAAAATTATTCATTTCTTTTTAGATTTTCCAATTTTGTGAAGTAAAGTACAGGTTTTTTAAATATAATCTAAGACTGGGCGTTGGTGGTACACACCTTTAATCCCAGCACTTGGGAGGCAGAGGCAGGCAGATCTCTGTGAGTTCGAGGCCAGCCTGGTCTACAGAGCAGCCTCCAAAACAATACAGAGAAACCCTGTCTCAAAAAAACAAAAATTAAAAATAAATAAAATAAAATATAATCTATTGTTATGTCCCCCTTTTTGTTTCTGATTTGATAATTTTGATATTCTCTTTCTGTCTTTTTTCTCTTTCTTTTACTTTGGATAAGGGTTTATTTATCTTGTTGATTTTCTCCAAGAGCCAACTCTTTGTTTCATTGATTATTTGCATTGGTCTCTTTGTTTCTATTTTATTGATTTCAGTCCTCCGTTTATTTCCTGTTGTCTACTTATCTTGGGTAAGCTTGCTTCTTTTTGTTCTATAGTTTTTAGGTGTGCTGTTAAGTTGCTAGTATGAGATCTCTCCAATTTCTTTAGGTGGACACTCAGTGCCAAGAACTTGTCTCTTAGCACCACTTTCATTGTGTCCTGTAAATTTGAATATGTTGCACATCCATTTTCCTGAGTTTTCCTGAAGTCTTTAATTTCTTTTATTTCTTCCTTGATCCACTAGTCATCCAGTAAAGAGTTGTTCAGTTTCTAAGAGTTTGTAGGCTTGTTGTTGTTGGAATCCAGCTTTCATCTGTGGTGGTCTGATAGGATGAAGGGGGTTATTTCAGTTTTTTTTGTATCTTTTGAGACTTCTTTGTTATGTCATATGTGGTCACTTTTGGAGAGTGTCCTGTGAGGTGCTGAAAAGAAGGTGTATTTTTGTGTTTGGGTAAAATGTTCTATAGATATCTTAGGTCCATTTGGTTCATAACATCTGTTAGCTCCAGTATTTTTCTATTTAGTTTTTGTCTGGATGTTCTGTCCATTGGTGAGAGTGGAGTACTGAAGTCTCCTATTAGCAGTGTGGAAGGGTCAGTGTGTGTTTGCAGCTTTAGTAGTGCTTCCTTCACAAATGTGGCATCCTTGAGTT